GATAAGATCAGGTACAGAATGACGGTACATTGGGGAAATGAGAAGAAGATAAATGCAATGCACTGGAGACAGGAGTGAATATGTCAAATTTGAAGACAATTCGGGCCAAGTTGCAGTCGGCTGAAACTAAGCTCGATGGTTTAATCAGTCGGCGGAATCATTTCGGAGGAGCGACCCTCCACACCCCTGCTGAGACAAGTCCGAGGAGCTGAGGTACAAAACTAACGCATCGGCTGATCATACAGAGTAATACAATTACAAAAGGTCGAATCATATTAATACAAGCAGCGGCTCAAAGTGTACGTATACTAGTTCACAAGGCAACACACGCCACGTCATCACTGCAACTCCCCTGGAGTTGCAGTGATGTGAGGTCTTGGCGCCCTCCCCCGTCAGCGCCGCCTCCAGGCTTACTGACATCAACACATCATGTTACGGCACGCACCATTCCTGCCATACATCATGTTACGGCACGCACCATTCCTGCCATAATGAACAGCTTAAAGCAAGAGAAATTTATGCATACGAAAACTTGTTGAAAAATTCAGATGATGCCACAATTTAAAGATACGTAATTTAAAAAAAAAAACGTTTTCAAGTAGAAAAAAAAAGCTCTGAGTTGAGTTGCTTTTGCTGTAAACTTAGGATCAGGTTAAATAAATTCATTGGAATCATAAATACGATTTACAAAGAATTCGCCATCCATCGAAATGCCCTGCCGTCTTACATTCAAGCGTGATGGGTAAGTAATGGTATTATTTCTCGGAAAACTTTGTTATCGACGTGGTGTCGATAACCGAGACTCTAAAATGAACTTTGTTCTCTGTATTTTCCGTTTAATACTGGACAAGGAATAGAGACTGTATAAGACTGACGTAGAGAACAGATCAATAACATTGCACGTTAATTACCTGTCGTCTACGATGAATCGAATTCTTCTACTACCGCCTGAGATGAGCCCAAAGTTTTGCAGCAAACAGTCTACCATGCTGGAGACCAAACAAAATAATTTAGTGCTGAAACGCTCATGAAACCAGTTTATAATAGACGGGTCCTTCTGAAAAGTACGCATGCACCCCACGTTGACGCATGTATACCCATCATTTGTGTACAACACACAAACACCACCAAAAATTGTTCCCAAGAGCGTCACGTTAAAGCAGGGAGCCGTCGTACCCTTGAAGTGACATGCATGTGAACCAAAATATAGACAGCGTGCACGGTGCATTGCAACCATGAGACTTCTACTTCATCCTATCAGTGACTAATTCCCCTGACAATAATAAATGCACATAAATTTGAGTAGCTGACAAATGAATATTGCAAACTTGGAAATCTACCAACACTCAATGAAGCAATAATAATCAAACAAAATCAAATCGATTTTTGTTATTTAATATCAATACAGAATAATTCGAGAAATGATTCAGATTTGTAGGCATTTAAAATGGAATTTTAGGGCAACATCGTCATAACTAAAAGACGGGTCAAAATGAGGGTTTCAATTACTTGTTGAATCATTAATTGCGATGCCTGCCATTCGTACACTTGGCGAGAGGCTAACTTAATTATCTGTCCAACATGATAGGATAGAACAAATTGTAGTATATGGGGAGCCTCAGCACAGGTACTACAAGAGCATGGATCGTTGACATTATTATCATGTCATATTATCATTATCATGTAGTGATGCGTCAAGATCATTGCTTTAAATGTGCACTGAATGTGTTTGATCATAGCAGAAAAGTCAATCAAAGCCTAACATCGATATTTGGCCTCATGAACGATGACAAAAGAAATACTATAATCTTTAATCTTTCCTCATAGGACTTGCCTTTCAAGCCCGGAATTATCCTTGTTGCGCGTCTTTGAACACTTTCTATTAAATTTTAGTCTTTTTCAAATTTCGGTGACCATACGACGTTTCCAAACTCTAGGTTCGGGCGCACGACTGCAACAGCCAACAAACAACTGCTTCATCGCTTCTGCATCTAGGAACTCGAAAGAGCGTCTGATCAGTCCAAGTCGTTTATTGGCTTTATTAACTTGACCTTCAATATGCTTAGAAAATTTCAACTCATTGTCGATGTTACCTCCTAAATCCTTTTCCGTTGTCGACTTCGACATCATCACTCTGTCGTTGCAACTGTGTCTTCTCATACTGTAATCTTGCTGTTCATTATTCTTGCCAAGATGGTTAACTTTACATTTGCCAGCGTTAAAACGCAGCTGCCACTTATCAGCCCAGTCAACCAGCCTGTCAAAATCACCTTGCAACTGTACATTTTGCGACGTATTCTTCACTGTAACATGAATATAATTCAACACGCAAAAATCTACCGTTTTTAAAGCTTAAAATTTAACATTAATATATAAATTAAATTAGATTGCAAACGAATATAAAATATAAGTTGATACCGAAGAATTATTCTCAGGTTTTCTCATGATACGCTTGTCCTTGTGATGAGTGAACAGCCTCCGTGTAGGAGAGTCTCATTATATTTATATGCTCGCAATATCTATTTTAGTGACCAACCTAATCTGGATATTCATGCAGTTATGGAAGATTCAGCCAATGTTTCCCTAGCCCGGGTGGCTTTCTGATACATGAATGCAACTGTTTTGCAGATAGTACGAACGTGGGACTTTGAATATTTACATATTTAAAACACTTGTTTATCCTTACATGTCAAACGGAAGCCTGCAGTCAGATACCGCGAGCTCAGCGGTGGGGCGCTCAGGAACAAATGTGAACTGATATTGAGATTCAGAAGTTCTATATATCATTCATCCGACTGCGGCTTTACAGATGCAGAATATTTAGGCGAACCTAACTTACTCACGATATCCACGTCTCATTCAACCAAAACTAAGAAATTATTAAGTTCATTCGAAAACAAGTTACGAAAAGCCAGACATATATAATGCATTATTTTATTTCAACAGACATTCCAAAAGACTATAAAATAAACTCCAAAACAATACTATGAATTGGGCCGTATAATATATGGTGACCTATGAGGTCTCGCGCACCATGTAGAGGTTATCTAATATCCGAGGGTGCAGACTATACTCGCGATCGGCAGTTTTTTTTTTTTTTTTTTCCCCGGCGTTATTGGGCCCCCAATTTGAAATTTGACCTTAGTTGAATTTTTGGTTAACTTTTTGGGTTAAAGGGGGGCGGCAAACTACTCGAAGCATGCAGCCTGTAATCGATAATGAATAGAAGTATAGAAATAAAAGTTTGAGCAGAATTGCGGCAATATTTTGTGTGCGCATTGGTAAGTTTTAAAACCGACCTTCATACCTATAACAAGAAATTGGCGTAGATACATAAGCGCTAAAACGCATTCAACATGCAAGCATTCGGCAAGCTTTATTAAGGGTAGCGTTCACTTCGATTGCACTCTTCATTCATCTCAATCAACTCCTGGTTAATGTGAAAATTATTTAGCTGATCCAGATTCTTCGATTTTCAAATAGTTGCTATCTGCAGCCATCAGTTTTTATATCAAGGACTAACATTTTTGCGGCAATGGAACTTGAAAGAATCACAAAATGTTACAATTTTCTCAAAGTTAAACAGCCATACAAAAATCTGAAATCAATGCACGTTCTTCTAATCGATATCTATTTGCCACTTCAACACTTGCAATATCGTTTAGACGCACCTTCTTTGTGAAGGAATCCTATGTGGAACAGTGAAGTGAAGAATACAAAAACAAACGTTACCCTACCCTTTGATACCAACAAGTGGCAAAATACTGCAAGAACGCACAGAAATTAATCGAGAAAGCTAACGAATATATCAATCAAGCATGAGAAACGGGTACAATTTACTGAAAGCTGACACACTATGGCATAACATCATAACGGTGCGGTATTTTAGTTTTAAATGAAAAAGGATGTTTTACCACAAGCTAGTGCATGGTAGAGAAATCTTTCAATGCTCCAGAGCGCATCACTTTATTCTCACGATAAAGTCTGGAATAGTTGAAATCAAACAGTGGGGCATTATATTTTAAATGAGAAAACATTACATTGCGAGAAATAAAACCAAAATGCTATCAAATTATTGACCAAAATGAATGGACCAAGGTAGTACTGAATACTGAAATGAACTGACACTAAAATATATAAATTTCATTCATGTCAGCTACTTTCGACTAAAAAATTATCGTGAATCAGCATCGTTCTTACACTCAGTATCTTAACGATGAGAAACAATAATTGGCACAGCCAATAATAACTAATTGATACCTAATGAGGTAAATAGCCAATATCGGAAAGTCACAGCCTTAACAAGCTAGCAATTAATCGGAGACGGTGAATCATAAATTGTGAATGGATTGCCACTGAGTACAAAGAAGCAATTCAGTAAGTACAACAGCAAATTCAGGTATATACCGTTGGTATTTGGCTGCATCACCATCTCCCCTTTGAAAAGAGACCCTCGCGATTAGTATTTAATCAAATTCTAGACCTTATATGGAACGTACGACATGGAATTCAATGAAATTTGCGCAGCTTGGATAATGGATACTTGCACAAATTTAACTATAGCATTAGCAGCAAAATACGCCAATATTTACTCACCTCATTGACTTAAGTTATCTCACACATAGAAGTAAGATGCAACGGCCTTACACTAGCATATGTTTGCACTAGCATATGCGTCACTACGAACTTAACACCTTCGCAGGGACCTCAGCTTCACACACTTACGACAACTTCGCGTGCCGTGGTCGACAATGAAACTTATCCGTGTTTTCCGTGTTTTCGACACGAATGTGTACTTCTCTGGTAAAACTGCTGGTAAGCAATTTAATCTGCTACAATTTTGCTATTATATCTTGTCTGCAAGTTGACCGGAGGGTATATTGCTCGATTGCTGGTGCACAAAGTTGCCACACCGCTTGATTACTTGCCTGAGGTGCTCCTTAGGCTATACAACGTTCATTCCATCCATCGCCGAGAGGTTAAGCTGCGGTTCGCGTTCGTCGCGTCCGCAGTTATTCTTGCAACCTCACTGCGAGCAAGACGTCGACGACGCGCAGTGTGAAGAAATGTTACGTGGAGTTGATGATTGATATTCGTGATACTGAGTTACTAAATTAAGTGCAGTGCAGATAATGATGACGGAGAAGCCGTCTAATAATTTATTGTAGAATATAGTTTATATTTGGGTGATTAAGCATCAAACGCCGTCATGGGCTCAACAGCAGCTATAAGCCTCTTCGCAACATTTTCGAACATAATTGCAGGAATGTTCACTACGCCAACAGTATATACCACGAGTGTCATGCCTGACGATACAATCGTCGACTTCATTGTAGGTGAGCTACGCTTGAATGAGACTTGTTTACAAGGTTTTGTTATGAAATTGTTATGGTTTATTGCTTCGGTTTGAACAATATTTTTAAAGCCATGCTTATGGCCTCATCTTTTTCTGTTCGCAAAAATTATTATAAATTTCTATCCAAGGTTCAGCCCAATACTGCGAGGTTTCTAACTCATTGGGCATATATTCACCTGCATATGTGCGATATATGAAATGTTCTCCTCGAATCAATAGTCAGCTTTAACCAAGCGCGTTTGAGTAATATATGTGCTCGGCGATTTATGAATTTAAATTAACTATTAACTCTTTCAACTTTATAAATCAACTTCTTACCGAGCCAACGTAGCGCCATAATAAGATTTAAAAAATAACGTATTACGTAAGCGTACAATCGTGTCGTTTAGAAATGTTTAATTTAGAACCGTCGAGCTTCGTGTCTCGTGCTTCTTGTAAATAAACCAATATTGTCGACAGCGTTAAATACTTTCAGACACGTGTACGTTGAACACGTGTCTGAGGTGCACTAAGTACTTCAAAACACGTGTACTTTGTACGCGTAACAAGAATGAAAGTATTACTATCAGACACGTGTAACTTGTACTCGTGACTATATAGAATGCATGCAGTCATCTCCACGGTGAAGGTGTCATGAAAATACAATGCATTGTGACATGACTTTATGTGAAAGCGATCTTGCAAGTAAGTGTTGTTGCGTTCAAGGTCGACAAACGGGATCCCGAGGCGATCAACTGGCATTCTGGGTAACGGGTCAGGCTTGATTATGCTTTTTTAGTTGTCATATTTTCGGGGCAGGTTTTAACCGGTTACTCTATTGAGATTAGTTTAATATGCTGAACATTCTTTTCCTAAAATAGTCCGCCTTTCCTAAAGTAATAAAATAGTTTAAAAGGCCTACAAGATACTGGGGGAGTATATGTACTGGTAAGTACATATACTGGGGTAAGTACTGGTAAGACTGCTGAGATAAATCAGCTTCTGAATTCATAAGGTGTCTCTGAATTCATACTTTGATTTGTATGAGGTTCATACAAATAAGCCCATACAAGTCAAAGACGTGCAAAATAACATATGGAGGTATGGAATCTAAATATATAGTACAATTTCCTATGTCGAAATGTGGTGGATTAAATCTAAACTCGTTGTGCACTTAATTCAGTTTGATTGTGGTGGATTCGACTCTAAACACAGTGAATTTTTCTCAGTCGGTGTTACCACTGAGGATTTGACAAATAGAATAAATAATACATTCATAATTAAAGTTCATGCATACATGGATCATACTTTTTCATGGAAAGCTCGATTAATATTTATCGCGCTCAACATCGAGTTCACTCAATAGTTCATACGGGAAATATATATATATGTACATACGGGAAATATATTTATGATATTAGAAGCAATTTTTACATCAATTTAAATATGCCATTAAAGTAGCATCAAAGTGATTGATTTTAGCATATTCTCTTATACCTTCATCATGTATACATTTTTCAGTATAACATTCCTTCGTTGAGTCAATTTTACGACGCCTAAATCAGAAATATCACAATAATATCGTAATACAACTTAAGGCTATAACTTGGAGATAAATTGGCAGGACTGCCGAGTGGTTAGAGTTCAGAGTATCAAGATCGGAGCTGTGAGGTGCGGGTTCGACCCCAGCTCTGTGTGACAGTTTCTGGTCAGAATTGGCTATTAGGTTGGGCGTTTAATCAAAGCCAAATTTGAGCAGTGAGTTGCGTGTTCGAGACTGCAGCAAGCTTTGAATGTTCGGTGATTTTAAGAATCGGTGGCATGTCTTATGGCCTACTCAACACTGAAACCGCTATTTATGTAAAATTCCATCTTAGAATGACCGGTTAAAGTATTAAAATCACTTGATTGCATAAATTCATTCTTGAGAAATGGTGAATTTTTTGGCTGTTTTCTTTGCTTTTAAATTCTTGCCCGGTTAAAATTCCCCATACTTGTGAAGTTCAAAGCTCTGTGCCAATTTAATCAAATCTTACAGGCGCAAACACTACTGATTAACATTATTGCGCAATAAATAAAATTTGTGATTGGGCGTGATATTTTGGCCTCAATGTTATTATCTGTAGTTTCGATGTGTAGTTGAATAATACGAGTATAATTTCCTGATAAATTTGACTACTTCGTTGCATCAAAAAGTTTTGATTTCATCTAAAAGTTTTTTATAGTTTTGACGAATATTTCATCGTTATTTTTCTGTAGATAGCATTATAATTACAAAAAAAAAATGCTGCACTGATAGTAATATAAAGTTACCAAAGGTGGGCAGTAGCGCATTACATGTAGCGGTAGCGGTAGCGGCGCTACATTTAGAGCATTTAGCGGTAGCGGTAGCGCCCGCTACATTTAGAGCATGTAGCGGTAGCGGCCGCTATATTTCAAAGTAGCGCTGCCCAGCTCTGATAAAGTTACTCACTTGAAGCCATCCCTCAGTGGGCTCAGGCTCGGCGGGCAGTGTGGTGGCGGGTCGACTGTCCGAGGTGCCGGACTGGGAGGTGCTGCTGCTGGAGGCCGGCGGACAGCCTCCTGCCTTCACGAAAATTCCAATCCTACAAATGGCCTCCGCGAATCCAAATGCCAACTTCATCAATTTTTACAAGACTCCTCCTCAAAAAAACTATAATCAGTTTTTGGCAAGCAATGTGAGAATATTTGTTGATATTAATTTGTTCACTAATTCATGTACGTTTTAACGATTTAATTGACACTATTAAATCTATAAATCAAAAAATACTTGTGTTGATACATCGTAACCTTAAAATTCTAATCTTTCCTGCAACAAGTGTATTCGCAACGTATGTTTTGCATGTGTCAATCATTGATGGTAAATAACACATTTTATCACAGAATAGATCCTCATGTTATTTTTACACCATGAGATTTCTTTGGCATGTGTCAGTATTTTACATTCATATTCCCCCTTTACACGCACGCATATGCCGCATTTGTTATGCCAACGAAAAACTATCTGCCTTTGAGTGAACTGCAATGCAGTCGGTTTCTTAATCGTGAAAAATATTTATTTCCCCTGCATGATTGTTATTAGAAAGCTGTAGATTAATTCTGAGAAAAGATTGAGACGCATTTACGTGATTTTAAAAATTATGTATTGTTCCCTAGCAATAAATATGCACAAAAAATTTTGCAAATGATTGAATCAAGTATTTGGTTGAATTGGTTTCACCAAATTGTCGAGACGAAGCAGGGAACTAGTTGGGATAGCATCGTTACAGAGCAAACTGAACTTATAGTGAACACTAAATTAGACTAAGTGTGAAACGAAAAACTGATTCATTCAAAATTGCCTCCTGTGATTACACAAGAAAATATTTGATATGTTTTTCCTAGCAAAAATTAGCAATTTGTTTGATTGATTAATGAGCAGTGTGATGTTCTTTCAGGAACTGACATATCCAAGAGGCAGGATGATCGGCGGGACGGGCGCCATTAACCTGATGGTGCACAGCCGCGGCAACCCACAAGATTACGACAATTGGGCCCAGCTAGGAAACCCAGGCTGGGACTGGGAAACAGTATTGAAATATTTCAAGAAATCTGAAGACTACCGGAGTCCTCTAGAGCCAAAAGATGGTAAGATGGTAGAAGCCGAAAGATGGCAATCTTTTTAACTCGATGAATCCTGGACGATTATATTAAAATAATTTTAATACCAAAAACAGGCAAGATTAAACGACATTTAGTGATAAAACGACACTGATATCCTTAAAAGGGCATGTGAAGAATAGCATGCCTCATAGAGGCGGCTTTCAGTTATAGACTATATTAAACTCAAATTATGCATATTTTACAACCATTTTTCTTCTATATATCAACCGTTGTCCCGGCCAATCGTGCTCAATGGCTGGTTACTTGAGTTACTCTCAGGAGAGAGTTGGTTATTTGATCATATGTGCGAATTGTTCACTATTCTCTGGAATAAAATAACAAGCATTTAACGTTGTGTAACGACAATTAGACGACAATTAATGAACTTCGTAATACGTTGGGTTGTAATTATGACCTCCTTGCAAGCACGCACAGACTTTGTTTTCATGTCTGCAATTTATCGGTCGTTTTCTATCTAGAATTTATAGTTATATACGCCATTCCGTCAAACTAGGTACATAATGGTTGAACTTAATTTTTTATACTATGTATTAATTGATTCGCAGCCCCGTTCCATGGGATTGGAGGTCCTCTGAGCGTGCAGAAAGTTGGCTGGATGCCGCCCGTTGGTAAACTTGCCATCGAGGCCGGCAAAGAACTCGGACTTGAAGAAATTGACTACAACACAGAAACAAAAATTGGTGAGAATAGATGCTTGTACACGAGGAAAATAAGGCATTCGAGTACAATATTAAAATGCAAATAGCGATTAAATATTATATTACTGGCCTATATCCCCATTCACAAGCGCCTAAATTGAGGATCAATAACGTCTATTCTTCACATTCTTTACTGTTGCCTCCACAAGTATATTATATTCCGAGACCTCTCTGATCACAAAACTGATTGTGCAACCAAAATTTGTGCTCTCAAGTAAATTGGTCAATGCAATAAAAAAGATTCAGGGACGCTGGCTAAAATAAATGGTTTGGAGAAGATAAGGGGTTCTTAAGATCTCGGCTCTTTATTCGTGCGAATTTTCATAAACCAATGAGATTTCGAGAAAAATACTTCAAAATAATATTTTTACAAAAAGATGACGCTTGATTGTTATTATTATTAATAACTAAGTTATAATATACGTTAGGAAGCAACATATTACAGCTACCACTTCGAGATGGGCAACGAGTTACATCAGCAGACGCCTATTTGATGCCGAACTTACGGCGCCAAAACCTGAAACTGCAAATCAACTCGCAAGTGATTAAGGTGAGAATGTTCTTAAGTTTACTGCGTCCTTTAAAAAGGAAACAAGCATTTCAGAGTCTAGGATACTTAATAAAAACACGTTCTCAAACGAAGGAGAAAATATTAAGGTCATCGTAGATTTACTTCGTTAAATGCAATATTTTAAAAACTTATGCAAATGCTGTTCGAATGCAGCATTCAGCAATTTCACATTGCTGTGAAATATATATACAATGTATGTCGTTGCAGACGGAGAATATATAATCAATAGACAAATTTAAACATATACGAGGCATGCTGTAATGTATATACGTGTATTAATGTATTTCAAAGATTTTAAAAAAATAATTATTCACAATTACTTATTCACTTGAAACCTAACTGCACAAACTGTAAAAACATGCGACGTAAATTCAAGGTTACAGAGCGCACATTTTCGTATTGCTTGTGAGTTAACAAAACTTATCGCCAGGTTTACCATTCCATGATGATTATTGGTTATCTCGAATAAGCAATTAGATAGGATCTACAAGATACCTTATAAATGTCTTCTGATTGAAATAATAATCATACAATGCAGTCTACAAAAAACTTCAAAATTTTTTAACTATATCGTTATAAATGTGGAATAAAATATATTAATTAAGGATTAACGATGAGCAATGTTTTTTTCAGATCATCCTGAATAATGACAATGTTGCCATCGGAGTAAGATACGTTCATAGAAACAAGGCAAGTGGTTTAAGTGGTAGATCCAATTGGTTCCAACTTGTGAGTAAAATTAACTTACCAAATAAATAATTAACTCTAATACCAAGAATGCAATCGCATGAAATTCTTTTGCATCAAATACTTAAAATATATATTTTTAAATTGACATTAAAGACTAACTGGGAGCTATTTAAAGGATGAAGCAGGGACTAATGCAGTTACAACATCGACTAAACTTCAAAAGACTTGCGTATTGGGCGAGAGAAGGTTTCCAAAAAAAAATAAGTTAAATAGTCTAATTGAGCGCAAAATAAATTCATTATTGTAAAATGTATGTGGTGGAATAATAAGTATTTTTCATTTTTCAAAGCCTATTTTCCGATGATTTTTCGAAAAAAATGCCTGTGAAATAGACTTTTGATTTAGCAGCCGGAAGGGTATTAAAAAAATTTAGGCCTCTTGCCTTCTTAACTGCAAATTGATTACTTCTTTATTCGCAGTCTCATATCATTTTCAAAAGCGTCTATTAAGAAATTAAAATTCGAATATGTGGTCATTAATTCGATGAATAGGTTACTTGAATATTTTCATAGCTCGTTAGAATTCTTGAGCAAGAAATTTTGGTAACGCTACCTGATTATGAACAGCTCTTTTCATTACCGAGTCATAATTACTTATCGCTTCCTGATCAGGTGAAGCGAGCGTTCGCGAGGCGAGAGGTGATAATATCAGCAGGCGGCGCTGACACTCCCAAGCTGCTCATGCTGTCGGGGATCGGACCACGGGAACAACTTGATAAACTTGGGGTGAGTGTCCCGCGTATATGTACGTACAAGTTAAACGTTAGTATCAGAAGGCAGAATAAGCTTGTTTCAACACGGGTGGTTAATGGCCAGAGAATTTGTCAATTTAATATTGAATATTGTTCGACCTATAATTTAAATAATTACTATAATTGGAGATTATTATTCTATATTTTGGTGGAACCTTAAAATACATTTATATTTCAGATCAAAACTCGTGTCGACTTACCTGGCGTTGGCCAGAATTATAAAGATCATGTTTTACTAGAAGGAATACATTGGACGATCCACCCGAACATCTCGTCGTCCGTTCTATCCCTCCTCGGACCGTCAGCGTTGCTACGTTATCAGGAGAAGAGAGAAGGTGAGCTATTTTTTTAATTTTCAAAATTTATTGATAATTTATACTCTTTTGTTAGAGTAATAGGTTATAAGAAAACGCGACATAATGTACAATTATTCCTGCTCTATTGGATTCAAGATTATAATACAGAAAAAACTGAAAAATAAGGTTTGATTGGTACATGAAATGAATATATCTATGTTTCAGTCGATCCTAAATTTGTAAACTTGAATATGACATTAAAATATTTTATCGTAAAACGATGTTTCTTTAACCACTTCGCCAAGCAACAAATCTCCAAATTTCGCAGATACGTATATTATTATTACAGAAAAATAACTATGCCTGTTTTGTTTCATATTACTAAAGCTTTTCAAGCATTCAATAGCGCCACAAGACAGTGAGGTTAAATGATGACGAAGGACAAATACTAAATGATTTATTCCTTCAATTTGCTCCCAAATAATGACGTGGACACAAAATTTGTCTAATTGACCTTGACCATAAATTCCTGATGGTTTTCACCTGCTAACTTCATTATTAATTTAGTATTTTCGAATAAATTTTCCTGTTATTTCGTTTTCATACATCTATACCAAGTACAAACAGCCCCTTTTTTAAGGAAAGCTTACCTTGCAGTACCTCCGACCACGTATCTAGCTTCTTTACATACATTTCTGACCGATGTGTCATTGTGCATATTTTGCGTCGGTTTGGATTGAAAACTCGTAAAAATTTTGAAAAATCACCTTTATAACGTGAACATCACGCTTTCGATAATCTTCCTTGCTTTAATTATAATTGCATGCTCACCGAGCTGTATTTCACAGGAAATAATTTTCGCTTTATTTTTATTCATTTTCGCTTTGTTTTTATTTATTATTAATTTGATTTGTTTTTATTCACTTTCCTCGTGTCTCATCAACTGAGATCTTTAATTAAATTCCGGGCTAAACACCCAAGCAAGCTTCTATGTATCTGCAGGCCCCATGACCGTTCCGCCTGGTATTGGTGCATCGTATTTTATTAACGTCGGTAATCCGGACGAGCCGACCGTTCCGGACATCCAAGTGCTGCTTGCATCGCAACTGGTCGGGCAAGATTACGGCATTTTAACCTTGGGCAAGTTCAAACAATCAGTAAGTTCGTATACGGTCCCACGGGCTAAGATATACATGAAATTAACAGCTTTCTGAAATACATGAAATTTTGAGTTTTTTATGACATGCACATTAGTCGTCACTCGGTATATACTGCACTTAACTCATCGTTCCTTGACAAAAAAGCTTATAATGCTGAGCAGAATCATGATTTATGTTTTTTAATTAACGCATTAAAACTGCATAGTAGTTTCTATTGTACGAAAAAGTAGTGGTATAGTTGTGCTTTTAAAATAGATCGATTTTATTGCAGGCGTTATATGTTGTGTTGACATAGCGTCTCGTCATTCGAAACCTCATCTTATAAAAGAATGCCACACTGGACAGTGTCAGGCATGCTGATTCTCAATGAACCTTGTTTGCATTTGAATGATGCTGTGCTTGACTTTTCAGCATCTATATTGTCCAGTTGACAATTTAAACATCATATCTTATCACATCATAGTGATGTCTACGCTGAAGAATGGGCCTGATGTGGCCTGTCGCCGATTCATGTAATTTTCGTGACTTGTTCACAGTAGATCTAAAAACAGGTCCTTTGATCGCATCTTTCCAACACTGACGATCGTTTGAAATAGCTACTAGAATTCCATCAGGTTCCACTAAACTTCCGTATTGCCTTCCTTTACGATGTATTAAATCTTTTCAGATCCGTAACTTTTCCGTACATTAAATGTTTCAATTCTACAACCTTCGGGATTCTGTAGTTTCTTCATATGCTCCCAGGTGCAAGATTATTATAAGCCGACGCTAGGAAGAGATGGCTTCTCCATGAGTCCCGTACTTCTCAGACCCAAGAGCGTCGGGACGGTGACCCTCAAGTCCAAGAACCCCTTCGACCCGCCCGTTCTGGACCCCAACTGCCTCAGTCACCCCGACGACGTTGAGCTTTTGGTCAAGGGTGAGCCGCCGAACATTTATTTCAGGCATCCCAAGTTCACTTTCAAGATTGAATTGGATATGAAACACATTAATTTAGTTGTTTTCAAATAGAAAATTGATTGTAAACAAAATATTTCTTGATTGTTACCTCCAACTTGAATTATTGTATCTTGGTAAGTACCGTAAGTTTTATGTGGCATAATAATGTGTTGGCAAAATTTATGTCGAAAATAATACAAATTTCAAACTTAATTTCAAACTCTTGTCCCTTAGAAGTATATCTATTTATTTGATGACTCAAATAATTTGGTAAAAATTCATCATGTTTCGTTTTATTACTATAAGTGTCTAATTATTCAATTTCATAACTCTACAGTGACGAGTCAACATTTGTTCTTTTGCAGCTTCAAAGGCTTCAGTTCAGTTAGGAAATGCCAAGACATTCCGCAGGTCCCTCGGCGCTGAACCCATCAACAAGGTAAACATTTCCCAAAGCTGGAAAATCAAATTTGCTATAATTTTTAAGATTGATATTATTAAAACAGGAACCAAGCAGCGCATCAGCTAACATAAGCAAACAGTACAGTCACTGAAGAGCGTACATTCTGAGACATTACGACTGATAAAAGTAAGGCCCATGGCATGGTAGCAAAAGCAAACTCCTTTTGTTTGCCTTCATCGCAGATTAGAACCGAATACTAAAACAATATTTTGATATTTACTTTTATGTATATGACCCCGCTAATTGGTATGCGGCGTGAATTGCTGCTCTTAATCGGTAGATAATTATTAATCATTTACAATTGATTGAAATGTTTCATACTACCTATCATCTTTTCTGAGCATTAATGTTTCAAGGAGACCAATAGGGTGAAAAAGCAGGTAACACTAATCATCAGAATAAACAAGCATTAGTTTGGTAGTTCCTTCCAACTGAACTACTATACTATCTTCAGCCATTCCCTGACTGCGCTCACCTGGAGTATCAATCAGACGACTACTGGAGATGCCACATCCGCGGCATGGCGGGTGTGATGGCGCACATCAGCGGCACCTGCAAGATGGCTCCAGACTCCGACCCCATGGGGGTGGTGACCCCGCGGCTCAAGTCAGACTTTGCTGTCTATATAGACACCATTTACTTAATATAGACACTATTTACTTTTACTTTCAATGTACAATCATGAAGATACGAGCATTAAAAATATAAAAGAAGTTTCCGTTTAAAAATGTCGTGCATGTTGATGAGCGATACTTTGTGCATTCTCATGACTCTTCCACATTATCTGCTCACATTTTGCTGTAGCCATAGAATTCTGGACCTCCTTTTATATGTGTATCTTTAAACTTACGCATCTTAGTTTTCTAACCCATATTTTGAAAGATGAAAAAATTGTCATGTAATTTATTATTTATTATTTTCCTAGGGTTCGCGGCGTCAAGAATTTACGTGTCATGGATTCATCTGTGATGCCTCAAATAGTTTCAGGTGATCAGATTGTATATGCATTAATTAATACGGATTGTTGCCGTCGATTGGATTGACTAACCATATATCTTTCTTATAAATTTTTTATTATTAAGATTTCATGTATAATAAATTCATTATTTATACATGTCTTCACTTGCCTCATCAGACTACAAAGACGACAGGCATTCAATAGATTGTTATATTATTAAGCACTATAGTATAGGTTAGTCGAATAACAACAAAATATAAACAGTATATGTTATAAGAACAGCAATACGAATATTTGTTTGCTTTCAGCTAACATCAATGCGGCTGTGATCATGATTGGCGAGAGAGGAGCTGATCTCGTCAAAGAAGATCACGGCAAAATCTGACGAGCACAATTCCCTGGTGCGCGTCACAACTCTCATGTGCACACCAATTATAATTTTTACGTCGTGAATGTACAAATTTCCTCCTACTTTGTAATCTGTAAATCGAAGTAAATGTATTTACTTTTCACGATAAAAAATAAATATAATTTTACTCACAACTTTGATAGAAATAGTGAATAGTTTTACCTGGCCGTTTATGAGGAATATCATTTATATATTTTCCTTCACACGTGATTCATGACGAGGCATAATGTCAACACCCGCATGTCGACTACATCATATAGCATACCAACTTTATGTACATTTTCAAAAATAATTTAAGACGAAACATGAATAATTTCAATGAGTACATGAATGAGAGAAATCATGACTCATTGCGTCTCTTAAGCCATCAGTGCGTCGCATATTAATGTACATAATGGCCCAATTAGAAGTCTTCTTCGCTATCCATATGTACCTTCAAAAGAGCACCGTTAAAGATAATATTCAGTTTTTTTGGCAGGAAAACTAACGTACATGCGTGTTTACATGCTAATAGATGTAATTCTCAAATCTCATGAATTCTTTAGTGAACGTTCATTTTATTTCAGAGAGGAAAAAAGCAATGAGCTTAAGCTTTTAGATTTAGATTATTCAATAATATTTACTGTTATGCAAGTTTGCTCTCAAGCTTAGCCCTGCAATGCACCGTGTATTGAAAATGATACTAACGAAATTTCCGTCTATAAATGCTAAGGTAATGCTACTTGTTTGTAGCACGACTTGTGACAAGTACGATGCATTTCAAGCCAAATGATAATGAAACGCGTTACATCGTTGATAGAAATGCGTGCATTCAAGGGTTGGAGAATGAGCTATGTTTTAATATATTTCAAAATGATGAAGTAGATAGGTGATACATGTGTTGAGAAAATCAGAATAGTTATTTTATTTATTTCTTTGATTGATGCAGTTATATTACATGAATCAATATATGTTAATTAAGCTTATGGGTTAATGACCACTTTTAAAGATTTCAATGATAAAACAATATGATGAAAAAATCGGAGAAATTTGAACATACTATCATTTACAGGGTTTCCTAATTACAATACTGTCCTATCGCAGTATAATTACTTCTATGTTGTCCTTCATAGAACTTCCTTACACTGGTTTTACGATATACCTTTTCATGAAATTGTTGGAGAAATTAGCTATCATAACTCATATAATTGTCAGTAATATACTAGCTCTCGATCACTAATAAAATTTTTAACTTAATTTCCGAAGTTTTTCCAGAAGGATTACTGGAATTTGAAACAAGAACCGACACCAGGGGCTACGTCTATAAACTTAAAAAACTGCGTTGTAACACATCCGTGCGACAAAATTTCTTCTCGCTTCGAGTCACCGACATATGTGGAACAGCCTCCCTGATAGCATCGTTGGCGCTCCGAGTATGAACACCTTCAAGAACAGACTAGACGAAGCTATGCAGGAACATATGTTCAGTCTTAAGATGCCTAGCAAATTACTGACGGTCATTAGTGTTGAAAAAACTCACTCCAGTATAAACCTTCGGAGAATAACTCTTATTAAGTAAAGTATTAAACAAGAAAATTCAATAACATAACAGACGATGAAAAAAATGATACAAAAATTTTTGTCATATATACATAATAATAACAGGCAGAAGCTATTTCATTTGTAAAGTTATAAACGGCAAAGTTTGCGACTAAATTACTGAACATGACTGAACATATCAGCAACCTACATAGTTATTTTCAATGAGATTCTGTTCTGTCGCTTTCCAGCAGTCCATCACCAGAGCCGAGGAAGAAACCGATAGAACGGCGAACATTTGTTGAACCTATTTGGGAGACCGCTAAACTATGAAAGGGAATGGTGCGCGCAGTGCGTACGTGACCTACTGCTCAAACGTTATGGAGTCGCATCAAGAAACAAAAATTTTATATGTCAACTCTTGCTAGTTGCTAGTACAAAATTTTAAAACGTTCAACGTCAACCTTGTGCGAGTGTAGTTACATGTTTATTTAAATTCATAAGATAAGTGCTTCTTTACATGGTATCTCCCAGACATCAGGTGAACGTTTTTCGTCAGGAGATTGTAATTTTATGCAACTTTGTAAGTCAGATTATAAATTATATAATAAACCTATTAAATAAATATATATATATATAAATTTTTTCTCTTAGTTGGCCTTGATTTTTTCATTCTTGTGCTAATTGATTCGCTAACTGACTACCTAAAGGCTAAGTACTTCTTCTTTGCACAATCAAAACGCATTTGTAATTAATCAAGTGATTATCAAACTAGTCTACACTCTACAGTCTATAATTAGCAATAAAAACCTTGATCCATTCTGCAATTCTATAGCGTATAGCCTATAGCAGTATAGCCCTATTATACTATAGGTAATTATTATAAATATAAATAAAATTACAGTGTTTTGAGATTTTTATACTATCAATGCTCCTTAATGGACTGGTACTGTGGTACACACTACACGAGTACACAGTAGTGAGTAGTGACAGTAGTCACAGTACACAGCACACTTTCACCACATCTCACTTTGTTTGGAATACAGTAGTGACTAGTGAGTAGTCTTACTTTTTTTCTGGAATATTGAGGCTCTGATATTGTACAATTTCAGTAGGTATAAAATCTTGCTCTTCTCATGTAATTTATTTGTGTTTAATTAAAAAATTTCCATGCACAAACATGTTTTATGAAATTTTCTACTTTCACAGTTCAGTAGTACACTCCCTCCAAAATATCCTGCATAAAGAGTAAACCCTAAATGTTTTGCTGGTGAATGGTGATCATGTTATTTGCATAGTTGTGGTCATGTCAGACTGCATTATAATTTATAACTGTGTTATTTATTTAAAAAATATAACTCGGTACTCACTGCAGTGAGTGACAGAGAGCGCATTTTCTCGTTGACAAAAACTTGAGGGCATAGTGGCAAACCAGAGCTTTTTTAGAATCAGTTCATTTTTAATTTCCTCATTTACTCAAGATTTATACAAATTTCTTAAGTATGATAAAGCTGGTATCCATGATACTTTACTGGTCTACTTATAGGACTCAAAAATGAACTTGAGGGAGAGTCTAAAAAACTCTCTGCTTTGCCACTATGCTTTACTTGTCTACTTATAGGACTCAAAAATGAACTTGAGGGAGAGTCTAAAAAACTCTCTGCTTTGCCGCTATGCTTGAGGTCACGGACAGATGGACAGACAGACGGACTTGGCAAGCACAATAGGGCATTTTTTCCATAAATGAGAAAATGCGCTAAAAAGGCGTGAATAACAGAACAAATAACAATGCCGTATCAGGCGTATCTGACTATCACATGTTAAATGCTTCAATTCCCTCTAAAGTCTGAACCTCTAAATTATAAAGTGATGACAAATGTTCTTGTTGCTCTTCTTAGGCAAAATTAGAGAACAAGTTCATGCAAATTTTTGGCTTATAAATTGCTTTTCATGGCCCAGATATGGTATTCATGGCTCTAATAACAAGAATCACAGCTTGCTAATCCATATAATCATGGCTCAAAAATCCAGCTGTGGTTCACAGAGTAGATGACTAGATGTATTCCTCACTAGCCTCTCAGGCCCTCATAAGTCACAAGATCCAACTATGCATAGTGGCAACTGGCAAAGCAGAAAGTTTTTACTCATCCTCAATTTTGAGTCCTATAAGTAGACCAGCAAAGTTTCCTGGATACCACATGACTCACTGCATGGTGACATTTTAAATGCCTTCTAAATGACCATGTACCTATGTAATTGAGGAACCCAATTGCAAAAAAAAAGGAGTTCACTTGCTGCAATAGTAGCGGGCTGGCTGCAAGCTCCAATCCGAGGGGGCCAGCAGCATCGGGAGCAGGACAGCACAGACAAGTGCATTAGAGCATTCTATCACCCAAATAACTGTAATTTTTTGTGAAAGAAGTGTCCCATTCTTAAGAAATAGCACTCTTGGAGCCTGAGTTGGAGGTCCTTCAAATTGCCCTCAACCCCCTCCTGAACCTGAAGTGAGTAGTGCTGGAGGGCTTTGGCAGTCCTGGTGGATCTAAATGACTAAACACATCCTAGAATTCCACCATGCCAACACATAGCTGCATTATTATACATAAGGTATTGGTTCAAATCTTGAGCAAATGAGGGAATTAGAAGTGAACAGGTTCCAAAAAAATTTTGGGGTTTCTCACTATGCTACCACATACTACCAGATTGATTGCTAATGTCAAGTCCTAGATATGTATTTATACCAGGGTGCAGAAAGTGGGTGAATATCTGAAGACCTTTGGTGATGCATCAGTGGCAAAATTTATACCTTCAAAAGATGTTGCTGGCACATTAGATTGAAATCATTTCATTTTAGATATTCGCAAATCTTCAGGACACTAACCGCAGAACAGCAGGTACACCAGTGGCTGCATTGTTTTCAAAATTTCCGGTTGATCAGATGAGGCTGCTGAGCACAATCCACAATTTGGTAATTTTGGTTGTGATACAATTGTCTACTGCAATACCTAGGGGGCATTCATGATACATTCATCAAAGTTGGTATTGTAAGAATTATGCTGAAACTTGTGTGCAATGCATCTGGGACTGGATGACTTCTGGCAATACATCTTAACCACTGCAGGTGATGCGGCGATGCATCTTAAAGACTGCTAGTGACGCAACAATGAATCTTGGCTACTGTTGGCAAGGGCTTTTGGTCTACAAATGCAAAAATTGGCAACGCATTCACAAAACTCTGCACCCTGGTGTTTATTCTGTTGGGATCAACTCCACTAAAGGTCAATGGTCTGGCTGGTATAGTACCAGTGCATGCAATAAAAAGAATCAAGCACAAATAGGAGAACTAACAGAGAAAGAACCAAGCAAAAATATATTATATGAAACTCAATGGTACATGAAAATTAAAGGTACCTAATAATTAGTTGGTTAGTAATAAGACAGCCTGGGCTATCATTGAGGCCATGAACCTAGCATGCTTGCAAAATAGCCAGTAGCACAAACTGGATTGAACAGAACAGAATAAACACTGGGCCAGAATAGTGATGGGGAAAATGAACATAAGCATAGACCAAAATTAATAACCAAGGTCTTGAGTCAGGGATTTGCTGCTGTGGCAATCTTCAGGCCTGGGTCTGAGAATATACATGAACCATGTCAAGAAAAACCTGCATTTGGTGATCTTACCAGTGGGGTCATTCCATGCCAAGTGGTCTAACCCTTTCCACCATCATGGTCTCCAATTTTCTTCAAATTTCAACTGTAGCACTAGTGAAGTGCTAAGCTAAGTGTTCCAAAATATTAGGCCTCTAGCTGCAAAAGTTGCTGATCTAGACCCCCTTGTCTGAAGGGTAGTCAGTCCATGTGCACGCAACGTTGAACAAAATGCCATCTTTATGGTCTAATAAAATTGAAACTAATTTATAAAAATTGCTAGTACAATGAGATCCTGTACAGGTTTTTGTGAAGATTCTGACAAAATTACTTTTAACATCACTGATGCAAAATTCAGCCAAACAAGTCACTCAAAATGTACCTCAAAATTTGTTGTGACTCAACACAACAAATTTTGAATAATATCTAGACTGCAACAATTTCCTTGCAAATCAAGATATGTACTTGAACTTTTGTACAAGCTTTATGCTTGTGCTGGACACAATACAGCAGGATTTTCAGCTTTTCAGACCCTATAGCTGCCTTGCAGGATCTCTTGAAATTTGGCAGTGTCAGCACAAATGGTAAAATTTACCAAAATTCAAAGCCAGTTACTAAAAAATATTCAGCCCGAATCTGCTTGTGAATAGAATCATCTAAAAGAGAAAATCCCGCTATACAAGACTGATGTATTCTTTTTTGCAACGCAACCATTAAGTACTCATTTACTCGGATCGGGTCAAAATATGTTATTTTTGTATGCACAATATGCTAATTTTTCTTCATTTCCATGAATTTGAATCTTGATAGTCACTTATAATTACTGATATAATTTTATTTCTTATATATTATTATATTATATTATACTTATTACCCCTCAGGGGGGACTATTGACGGGTGTCTGTGCTCGTCAGAAGTACTATGGGATTTTGCGTTCCTAAGGGGGATTGTTCCTAAGCGCCCCACCGTTGAGCTCGCGGTGTCTGACTGACTGTAGGTCTCAGTTGTGGGGTTAAGTACATACATTTCCCTTCTCTGTCTCTCTCGTGCGGGCGGCCAACGTCCCGTGTAAGCCACCACTTGTTAGAGTGTCTTTGTTTCTGTTGCTTTTCACCTGTCCCTCCTTGTCACTTCGTCTCTTTGAGATGCTAATGCTGCTTCTTTTGAGCCAGCTTCAGCGGGCTGGACATCTGAGACCTTCCGCCCCTTGTGGGTGATGAATAATTGAGACCTTCCACCTCTATGGTGATGTTCATCTTGACTTTTGGTGCGAGATAGCTAAATAGCTGAAGCGCTAGTAAACATTTGGCCACTAAACTAACTAACTAACTAACTCATACTTATTATATATATATTATATTCATCTATATATTATTCATTGTTTGGTCAATTGTTTATTGTGCATTGTTGTCAATTTGATTGTGCCACCATATGTGAATATTGCAGCTTAATAAAATGGAATAAAAAGTATTTACCATCAATTTACCATTCAATTAAAGAGGCTCAATTAAATTAGCTCATAACAAATATTATTGCGCAGGAATTTTTGCAGTGACCTACAGGAATCCTTCTGAATGCAATCTTAATTTTTGAGAAGGGTAAAGGATCAAAGGAAAAAATGAAAGAATTATGTTATTATGTCAATGAAAAGTAACATGGACAGTTGTTTAGCCAATTAGTGTGGTTATGGTGATGATGGTTAATCAGCAGTTAAATTAGAGATGCTCAAGTTTAAAGCATCTCTCAAGAAGTTTCTCGAGCCATTTGAACTGAATTTAATTATTTCTTTCACAAAAAATCAGCTAAAGAGAACAGCAATAAAGAGCAAAACTGTCAATTTAATGCAATATCTGCTAGATAAAATACAAATATTACAAGTCATATTTTTATTTATAAATTTTATTTGTGCTTATTAATTTTTTCTGCTTGTGGTTCAGAGTGGAATGAGGAAGAGCAGCAACATGCCTGAACTGCTGCGAGACGTCAGTGGTCAGCTGGCATCTGTGGAGGAGGGGCTTGCAGCTCTGGACCAGCACAAGAGAGAACTACACCAGCATGCTGACTCGGTTAGTTCAAGCATGGTTATTTGCATGCACATGACACATTACGTTTGCAATGAACTGCCGTTAGTAAATCAGAGAAGTTGAAATAGGACAAACTCTGTCTTCTATCTTGTACAATTGTACGATTTAAATTTGCTTGGTTCATGAAATTGGTGTTCTGAAAGGTACTATTACTGTACTGTTTTAAATTTTTGAACTGGTCAACTGATCATTGAATGAGCATTTTAACTCAATGATAATTAGGTATGTACTTGAAATTCATTTATGTGAATTGGGGCTGCATTGTTTTCTAGTGTTGAAAATTTTTCATGTACTCAGGTGAAGCAAGAGATAAGCTCGGCTGTTGAGTTCCACATGGCAGCTCTGAGAGCCAGGGAAAAGCAACTCATCAGACAAGTTGAGGTCTGTATCTTGTGATTTGCATTTAAACTCACAAAATAACTTATAGTCTAAATTTAACAGCACCTGAACCTAAAACAAACTCAGCAGTGTTTCTTGAAGCACCCCAACAAAAATGTTTGAATGGTTAACTTCCATCTTTTGACAAGTCATATGACACATTCATATCTTCTGAGTTTAAGCAACCATAATACTGCAGAATTGGTCTATGAAAGTGACGGAACTATCCACCTGGATAATGTTCATTGCTCCTAATGACTAAGAACATATAGGTATGTTTAATGGTCTTTCCTGAGAGAAAAAAAATCGCAATGATAATGATATCCCAAGGGAAGAATTTTTGCTTGGCAATTGCCAATTGCTCAATATAATTACCTAAATCTGCATCATGCTATTCCTCCTGGAAATTTTGAGAATGGCTCTAAAATATATTTTACTCTAAGTTCACTTAGTTTGGTGCTCATTGCTGCTGAAGAGGCGCCTGCTGGCTCTCGAGCACGTCTCATCCGTTCTATTATATGCAGGCCTCAAGCCAGCCCCTCTTGGGCAGTCGCGAGAGGATAGCCAAAGTTTTGAAACATCATTTAGACTGAAGCGTAAGTCGTTGAGTAGAAGGCAGCTAATGAACACTAACATATTCCGGCTTCTTTATAGGCACTAGTTCGTTTGTTTGCTACTTGTATTTCATTACGTCTGTGTTCAGTGGAACCAGTCCAAGAGATTAATGCCCCCGCTCGCACTCACTACCATTTCACGTCATTTTTAGTGGTATTCTGGAATATTGCAAGGTAATACTGCTGTAGCAGCAATTGGAGTACAAATAATTAGCATGGAATGGCTTCACCTTTAGCGATGTTTCCTAATAACCAAAGTTTTTGTTGCAGGAAAATTTACTAGGAAGTACTGCTTCATTTGGCTGTTTGTTCTCCTGATTGCCACTTGTGTTCATTTTGCAGTTGGTGAGCACACATCAAAGCTGTCGTCTGAACGTGACACAGGCTCAACTGCTCCAGCATCAAGGCGCCCTTGCGGTCACGCGGTCAATCTTGCACCGATGCGCCAGTGGTAACGAGGTTTTGAACTCCACGTCAGGTCCGGATAACGGAGCTTGTTCTAAAAGAAACGAACTTTGTTGTCTGAGCACAAAATCCTGTGGCAAAGAAACCGGAGGTGAGATCTCTCTGCCACACGGTGCGAGCGGATCCGATGGTGTATGCGTGAACATGACAGGTGATCGCGCACACATTAGTATATGTAATTCCTTCGAAAAAACCGGTGACGTTGTCAAGCGAGACTTGGATGGGCTGAACGAACCTCCATCTGCTGTGAATAACGGTTCTACTCATCGCAATGTTAATGGGTAAGTATGGTTATGCAGTAACGTGTTAGCCTTCATGCAGAGATAGTAAAAAACTCTACCATGAAAGATGAAAGTGTCAATGTGTCATCGAAAGTTTCTTCTTTCTATTAAAGAGTTCTGTGTGCTATAGCAACTTAACTCTATCGAATTGCGCTTTTTAAATATTTATCTTGATCCGATATTAATGTGGATTTACAGCCATATAGATTCTAGTAGGCGAGGATCAGTTTATTACATCTATTGAACATCGAAGTTTTTTGGAACTTCCTAAGTTTAAAGTACTCTTTGATTTTTATAGGTTTCAATATCTCCAATCTTCCTTTTTTTAAATGTATACTGAAATCGTCAGTTCATTTACAGGATCAATCTTGTTGATGGTTCAAGAGGCTTGTCCTTGTTTGTTTTAGGCTTGAGTACATGTGATAGCCTGTCAGCTGACGTGTAGCCTGTAGTATCAACCTCTATCTCGCTTTTATCAGTGCCACAAGTAACTTTATCTCTGCCACTAATGTCTATTTATTTCTCAAATGAGTGAACAACTTGATGGAGCTATTACGACTTTTTGTAACGTTTTTATGAAATGTAGGCACTAACACTGTTTTCTTCCCTCTAATAATCAATCTCAAATATCGCTTATCTAAACTGTTGTTGATTTTCTGTGTCGTAACTCGCCCTACGAGTGGCAATCACAGATTGGTTATCAAAGCTTATCTCGCACTGGCAGGCTGCTGCAACAGGCCCAGAAGTTGCTGCGTGTACCCTTCATATCAGTCACGAGTCTCGAGGACCCCGCGCTCACCAGTGCCATTCAGAACCTGGGGAACGTAACTCTGCCTCCGACCAGCAGCAACGGCGAGCTCGTGCCACACTGCGAGATTTTACCTCACTGTGAACTACTGCCACACAGCGAGCTGCTGCCCCACTGCCTCGAAGAGTACGGTGACGCCGACCATCACGTGCTCCATAAGAGCGTGAGACCTGACTGTGCGGTGGCCACCATTGACGTGCGACGGCCCTATTTACTGGCCGCCAGGGCGCGACATTCTGCTAAGAAGATCGAGGCTTTAGCGTCCGAAGATCCTGATAAAGTAAGTTATCTTTTTATTGTCGTCATGCTTAGAAACGCAATTTTGTCATGCCCAATGAACACCTTTCTTTCCAATTTATTTATTTGGAATGAGCTCTATGACGGCCATTGTTTTTCTCGCACTTTAAAATCAATCCAACTTTCGTCTTGATAGTGAAGTGTACGAAAGTTATTATTAAGTACCTTCAAATTGACGCGCTCTGGGTGTATATATATTACTTGTAAAAAAATCAGTACCTAATTATTATGTAGCTTGTCTCAAGTCAACAAAATGCTAAATGTTATGATCTCCAACAAATATAGTTTTTGTTTTTAAATTGTCTTTCGACGAAACGGTGTACTTACGACGTTGCTCTAGTACTTCTTCAATTGACGACATCTTGTGTAATTGTGCGTCGCAAAGATCTGATTATCCTGCCGAGATTTTTTCGCTTAACGTGCGTCTGTCACGACAGATGCCCGGTGACACGAAGGAAGACCTGGTCAGGTGGCTGCACCGCATGCAGCTCGACACGCCCGTGAGGCGGCCCCAACCTCCAGCCAAGGTGAGGTAGATGCGACTATCCTCATTACTCGCGTGGCTTCTTTGTCTCGTGTCTTTTTTATTCATTTTAAATAGCTTTTAATCTTTTGAGCTAAAAAAATATTTGTCTGCGTACTAAAAGGACAACGCACAAAGGAAACAATAACGTCTTTTTGGCCTTATTAAAAAGTGATGCAGTCGAATTTGGTTTGTATTGCTTTTTATTGTTAGTTCGTTATGTCTGTTGAACGTAGTCATCATAATCCGTCCAGCCGTCGGATCGCTTAGTTTCTGCCTTGCTTATTGGGAAACAAACACTTACGCTATCTAGTACATAATTTAAATACAGGCAATCACTTGTGTTATGCGAACGTATATGAAATTTGAATTAAATGTAGATTCTCCGTGTGCACATTCAATCTTGTTCGGGTTGTTAGGTATCGTCGCTCATATGAGCAAACGAGCAGACTATTGTTCTAGAAACATTCGAAAATAATGCTGGAAAACCAAGCACTTCTGCACTATGGTATCTAATGGCCATTATGAAAACAAATCTCATGTGCATTCATTATTCCCAAACGCAGAAAATTTCCTAGTAGTCATCTCTAATTCAGTTCAAAGAAAGTTCCTAGTATTTATCTCTAATTTAGTTCAAATAATGTAATAAATTTCTGCTTGGATTGAAACGACTAATAGTTGAAGGAGCTTGGAACATCTAATGTGTGTGAGCTTCAATCGATTTTTCTTCTTCCTTACAGTGCATTTCATTTTTAAAATCTGAAATTTCCATATTAATAATAATTGCTAAAATTCTATGTGTGTGAAGAGCTGATGAGCTTCAATTTTACAAACAAGTGCACGAATTGCAGGAATGTGACGGAGTGTGCGTGGAAGAAGCTTGCCAGGGCAACGAGACCTGCTCGTCGTTCTCCGAGTGCTTCATGAACGGTCAGTGCAAGAAGAACGCTCTCGAGAAGACTGACCAAACAAACAAGTGGCGACTACAGCAGAAACCTCTACAGCAGCTGCAGCTCTCTGACCAAGATTTCCTCTTGCGTAACCTGAACAAGGGGCCACCGGCTGAACAGACCACGTACGCTCAAACACAGCTCGGGAATAGCAAAACTTTCCTGATGCCGTCTAACTTAGCTCGTAAGCGACTACACTCTTCTCCGAACTCCGCTATCCAGCCTGTTATTGCGCACATGGACGCCATCCAGCGCTCCAGTAACGGATCTTGGCTCTTGATTAAAGGTACGAATGGCATCGCAGCAAGTCTTGCGAATATTGATTTAAATTCGACTTCATGTGGAATTGAAAACTTTGAAGCCTCCGCTGAAGATATTAACAAAAAAATGCGCGCAAATGCTGAGAGCGGTGAAATGAAAAGCCTGGCATTTCGTGCGGCCATCTTGTACCAAGCGCCGTCGGCTCAGTGGAGACTGAGTAGCAGTGAAGATAAAGAGCAGAAGAACGCTTGCAATTCTGGGAAAAAGTTACCGGAAAGCGATGACGTGGAAAAAGATTCCAGTAACGTCAAGAATGACTGGTTGTTGAAAAAAGCGGGTCTAACGTCTCCTAAGCGATCAGTCTTAGAGAAACTTGCGGCTGAGAATGAAAACAGTAACATGTTCTTGGCTGACAGGATAAAATCCCAGTTATCCTTGGCATCCTTGGCCAGCATTGAGAACCTCAAAGAGAAAATTGACAGACTGAGCGCTGAAGCTGGTAAGTCAGCAGAGGTTGGCGATGCGGACTCGTGGCTGTTGCAGCAGAGTCCTGCTCAGCGTGCTGATAACCAAATACTCGAGGAGATCATGGAAAAGAAGAGCGAGTGGCTTTCAACTTCGTCGCAGTCGTCTTTCTCTGTTATATCAGAGTCTGAAAGTCGTGGCACCGGCTGGTTAATGCCTTAAATTCCTGGTCTAATGTGGCACCGGCATTGAAATGGCTGGTGTAATGTGGCACCGGCATTGGAATGGCTGGTGTAATGTGACACCGGCATTGAAATGGCTGGTGTAATGTGGCACCGGCATTGGAATCCATCTTGAGGAAGGACGCAATGCTGAACTTCGTTCCCTGAGCATCTTTTTGTGGTATGGCCGAAAATTTTCTTTGTCCTATTCTGCAGCTCGCACAATTCAGTGCAAAGTAGCTTGGCCTTGGTGTACTATTAATCTATTTAATTTTTGATGAATAACTTCTGAGGACAATTGAAGAAGTTGTAAATTTCTGACTTTGGCTTTTGGAAAGAGGTTGTAGTCTCTAGGGTAATTAATTAATCACTTCGTAGTGCAACATATATTAATTCATCTCAATAATTTATGACTGATTGTGTACTAAAATTGTCGCAATTTTACCGTCTTCACAGATCACAACTTGAGTTTATATTGTTACTAAAAACTGCCAAGTCACCTCATTGTCATGACCCTTCTTCTGTATGTAAAAATATATCTCTATGTAATATAATCAAGCTACAGTCGTCCTTATCGCCAGCCTTGGTGAGAAAGTGTTAAACTTTGCCCTGTAAGATAAAGAGTTAAACTTTCCATGCTTGTCATGATCCATTAAAGCAATGGTAGTATTGCGGTCGTGCATTGCTCCTGTCGGCCCTTTTGAACTTGTAAGCTCCAAAACTGGCTCAACTTGCCATGGTTTTTCACCAAATTCCTTGATAGAGATCATTTCGTGTCTCGTGAGAACTCTTTTTGTGTAATTTCGGACAGTACGGAATTGATTGGTGGAGTCGTTCTTAATAAAGTTTGTTTCATTCATTACAAAATGAGCTAAACCACGTATCTCCAACTTTATCCTGATTTGTCTATATTTTAGCTGCATGTGTAATTAAGGCGCGTGGTTATTGCTCCGAGTAACCATACCTTCTTCGTGTGCGCTCGCCTCCATCATTTAGTGTTGAACATAATAGCTTGTCTTAGCTGCTAGATTACTACTGATGCGCTAAGTGCGCCAAGTTCATTGTGTTTTTATGTGAAATTATAGAGCTTTGAATTTTGTGGTGTATGTTATTAATGAGGAATGGGCTCATAGTAATCACCCTTTTGAAGCATTGCTTCAATGTTAACCCTTGGTGTACTAACGGGAACGCTCGATCCCAGACCTTTTTGTAAGAATAGCATTGACGATGGTTTATGTATCCATAGACAATGAGTTAGGAAAGCATTCATATTGTAATGATACTTCATAATTTGCTGCATGATTAGTGGTCAAAATCAACGCCTGAGGACGGTCACGAGGCACGTTGGGTGCGATACCTAGCTGATGTGCCGAGCGCGTTAGAAAAACAAGTAATGCGCAAATTAGGCAATTTATTTTTTCTGTAAGTTTAATGTTTAACTTCGTTCACAATCGATGCAATGCTTGTGTACATTCTTTTTAATTATTTTCAGCATTAGCTTCTCTACTTGCTGGCTGGGCTCCTAGGCGTCTAGTGTAATCCTCGGTCTTGTTGATATTTTTTTAGGTTGGTCAATTAGTGTCCACTGGATGAGATTCATTGGCTGTGTGTCCGTTAGACTACTTCTCACTTATTCATATATCCATTAATCTTGTTATTTGTTGGTTTTATGTTATATGCTCAGAAAAATAGAGCTAATATAAATATATAAAAGCAGTGTTTCATTGTTCACCTGCTCTAGTGCTTTGCTACTCTACGACCTGCGGGTGATTATCCGAGCCCCAACACCAGTCGGGCGAGTGGCTGGATAAATATTCGAGAAGGTTCGTAATTGCACGTTGTCCGTTGTTTCCAATTTTGATATGTTATTCAAATTTTAATCCCAAGAATTGGTCTTTCAACTCCAACTGGAGCGCGTTGAATAGTTAGTTATATGTGCTGCAGTCGTCTATGAAAAGTTTTAGTAAGACCTGTCCCCAGAAACTTCGTTCTTGACTTCTTGTGGTGATAAAACTTATCTGATTTACGGAAATTCTCAATCGTTCGTTTTCTCAGCTTAGTAAGTGCGCAACGTCATTAAACTTACTGCCGTTAATATTCTGACCACCGCGTGTCATCCGTCGAATTTCGCTAATTGTTTACCGACGGTATAAAATAAGCATCGCGATTAAAGTGGAAGAGGCTTCGAATTAGAGCCGTCGATATTTTCGGAAATTGATTCATTCTCAAACACATTAAGAGCGCATGAACGGGAGCTAACAAGTACATAGACTTTCTTTTGCGATCGTCGGTGTTAGGTCGTGCTTGAAGCGCTAACTCTTAGCGACGCGACCGCCAACCCAATTACGACTTAGGGTAACTTTTGCGCGTCTAGGGACAAGGCAACCGTCCAAGCTCGGCATTACCGAGATTGTGGGAAGACCCGGATTTCGGCACGTCAATGAATGAATGATGAAATAGCAAAATTTTTAGCATTGAACGCTCGCCACACATGTACATTTTCGATAAATTGTCATGAAAATCGTGACCATTGCTGTCTATATATTTTTTGCACATCTCAAAGGGAACTGGACCATGGTTGAACATAATATGTACTAGAACTTTTTATTTAGTTAAACTATATACATGAACTGTACTGTCGTCTTCTGCTGTAATCGCTTACTACTTATACTTAAGAATAGAACGGATTATGGTCTTTCAACTATAGATTAGTTTTTACGTGCTGCACTCAAGTGTGGAGCAGGATTACAAATTATGAAAGAATCGTCGAAGAATTAAACTGTTGGCCTCCTAAATTCAATTTTTGGCTGAATTTTAATACATTATATTGACGACGCTTTCTATTATCCTTCCACTTTTAATCTGAATTGTGGCCAGTTTCTATTATAATGAGTTTATCAATATTTTGAAATTAAGTTCACAACTAGAAGGTGTGGTTCACTAACAAGTATTCCTTCCACGATACCGCAAAAGCTCCGCATGAATTTGTTCGCAATCGCTAATCTTCTAGAAAATCAAAGCATTTCTCAATCAGGCATCTCATTATAGAGTGGGCTCATGGACTTAACCCTCACGTGTCCCAAACGTCGAAAGTCTGGGAGAACATCGAAGATTTTCGTCTTTATCGACAGGGGCGTTTGTCGTTCCTAAAGAAGACTCCATTGTTTTAATCGCACATGTCTAATTCTCTAGATTTATAGCGATCATAACGCAAGAAAAAAGAATTAAGATTTGGTGGGAAGACCTGTGTCCATGGACGTCTCGCGGAGAGGTCACTTTAAAAGGTTATCTCGAGAAGACTTACTGCGATTGTTCAGCTCCGGCATTCGTCGAAGGAGTGCTATATCAGCAGCGAGTGCCATCGGCTCACGATATTATTTCTCGTTCGATGATAACAACGTGATGAACATAAGTTACAATGACGAGGTCAGTTATGCTCTGAAGCATGTAGGACGTGCAATGTTGAGGTGAATATTATGCATTTCACAATAACGGCTGCACTAATGGGTATCGTACGTGATAGCATGGATATAATATAGAAAATAATCACGGAACTCTCAATAGGATAATCTTGATTATTTCTTGATTTCGAAAGTCGTTCATCCACCTTATTGACTTTATATAAATTGCCTTAGCATTGAAAAGTAAGGGCAAGTAGGTAACGGAGAACGTGTTGTGTGTGCAATGTAGTTAGATCGAAAACGCGCTTTCTAGCCCGGGGATTTTCTCACATGTTCAGGAAAAGCAAAAAAAAAATATTTTTTTAAATGTCTGATCAGAGAGCTTGAGTTCATCAGAAAACTCTATTTTATAGCTAGTAAAAATTTTATACCAGGGAAATTCTTGTCCTCGATTCTAACTTGTAGCAATATTTGACTTCATGCATGGATCCATATTTGGACACACAAACTAAGAGATCCGTCTTCCGCCAAATCGTAATTTGAATTCAAGACTAGCAAATAAAGGAGGGTCTTCGTTTCTGGCTTCGTAGGCAATGAATTTTCGGAATGTTAATGCAGCAATCACATTCTAAACCTGCCCCTAGAATATAAAAGCCTAATATTTAGCTCGGGTTTACCCAAACAAACTCTACGTATTATTGTAAATCGAACATGATTAAACCAGGTTTTGAGTTTGAACAGATGGACGGAGATGCCGATTGAATGGAGTTTCGAGTTTCGTGGACCAGCCTAGATAGCCTGTGCCCATCCCGAGAAAGATTTCAAGACTTTATTTGATCTTTGAAGTTGCTGATCTTATATTTGGGGGTTTGATGCAATCAAGTCATTTGGGCTGTGTTAATCCAAAGAAATACAAATAAAAATTCAGCCGTAATTCTTGAACAGATTCTGACAGGAACGTATGTCAATAGGTAGATCTCGCATGAATCGAGAGAAATCTATTCAACTGATGGTGATAATATATGTTGTAAATGATCGTGTCAATATTGCTTTGATTCTAATAATCGTATCGCATAGAAGCATAAATCTTTATTCATTTATCCTATACACCGCTTCCGTACACCCTAACTGAAGTCTCAAAATCTTTGAGCAAGTGCGATGCTTTAATTGTGATTGAATGTTTTGAGCTAATGTGGCTTTTATAGTTACAGTACATTCACGTTAGCTGCGTTGGGTACCCATACTCTATTATAGCTATGGATTATCCGCACTGCTTTCCTTCCAAACGCTCACTCAGCCAACAACGGACGGGTTCACTGCTTTCTAATAACTATCAAGCAGCATATGTTGGAACTTCCTAAGGACTATAGTCATTATAAATTCCGACACTCGCTCCTGTTTGAGCTATAATATCAATTCTAATCGCACACTAAGATTTGGAGCCTGGTGATCAGCGGGCGATATGTGCTGTGGTGCATTTGCGTTGCTGGCAAACAATAAGATGACTTGAGGTGGTTGAGCGAAGCTATAAAATCATATAGCAGCATATAATTACCGCCGTGTTCATTATGATCAACACATCATTAATCGGTCAACTTGAACGATGTTGCATCCATTTGCCGTCGCTATTCTTTTAATGTCGCCGGAAGGTGTTCTCTCTTTCTCAGTTCTCGAAGCATCGCATTTATGAAGATGCGGTTGAAGATATTGTGCGATATGAGTAAAAATCATAATATTTAGTAACTTTAAATGTGTGAATTTTGTGTGAGTTCGAATATAATGTATACTTTTGCGCGTTCCGATGAAGAATGTTGCATCGTTAGTCAAGCACGGTGCATATGGCACGTACTTATATATAGAAACAACTTTACTCATCATGCACGAGTCTGATTATATTTTCTTAAACCCTTAAATAACTTTTACTTCATCAATTAAATATTAAATTGATTAGTACTGAATTAATAAAGCAGACGTTGATAATTTTTTCCCTTTGATTTAGTTTATCTCTGACTGCATTCGAATAGAATTCGCTGGATGTTGAGGTTCGATAAAGATCTAAGAATTAGACGCTCGTCTGCACCATAAAAAATCTTACGTTCGTAGTTTTTGCCAGCCTATCAGAAAGGTTGAATAGTAGCTTGAAAACACAGAATTTTCAGTGTTTTCAAGCTGTTATTCAACCTTGTAAGAAATATAATTCGTACAATATTTTTGCAATTTATTTGCGATCGAGAGGTCCGCCCGAAAAATTCATATTCCGAGAAATTTTAATGCTGAGCTGTACGAGCACACCGTCTAACTTTTATTCTCTCCTGAATGAACGCGCTCGAAATAATTGGATTGGAAGTGCTTGGTCTGATCATCAATTGAACGTAAACAGTTCATAAAGTTACTTATTACATTAATAGTATGTTAGAGCTGACCAGTCTCATTGAGGGCGCAGTATATGCATCGAACTTCTCGTCTTCAATTATCAAAGCTGACCAGCTTGATCGTTATAAATCCGAAGCGATGTACGCATACAAAAACTTATTCAAATTGCAGGCCTCTCAGCTCCACTACAAAAGCCATATCATGTACTCATTCGTATTTAATTATCCTCTATAGCCGATACCAAATCTCCGGCAAGAATTTATCTGTCTGTGTGTGCGGTTTTTTGTTGTTGTTCGCGCCGCAATTACGAGCGCAGAACGAATAGCGCATCTGCGATTTGCTGTGCAGAGCATCCCTCTGATGAAGATGTTGGAATGTTGCGTCGATGTTACAAGCAGGCGAGGCCCTCGTGAATGTCGTTCGCGTTTATATCAGAGAATCAATTAGCACTCGTTACTCGACTTTGATTACAATTAATTAGTTCTCCGATATTCGAGTCTCTGCGACGAGCCTGGTTCTTATATATGCGCCGGGTGAGGTTACTTACTATAGGCAGACATCAGAGACATCATTTTAGGGAACACAAGCGAATTACTTTGTAACTAGGTAAACTTGATTGATTTTAATAAAATGTGAGCCTCTTTTCGATAATACATGACTACAATAATAAGAAATGAGGCCTATCTCAAGCAGCTCCATTTATTTATAGTTACATTCCCATGCCCTTTATAAAAGTGCAGAATACTTATGAATTCATTGTGAATAGTGCATGCATGTGAATGGTGTATTCATTATGCACTTACCAGGGCTTTATTATTCAGCAACTCAGATGTACAATATCCTTCTCTGTCCGAAGCCTCTCACAAAACACCAACTAACAAAATGAGTCTTATACAAGAAACCGAGCGTTTTTAGTCTTTGCATATGTTATTATTGTTGTTG